GCGAGTGTCCCTAAGGTCCCCAGCATTTGTTTCATCTTTATAATGTAGTTTGGTTTCCTCCCATGAGCTGCAAGAAGGACCAAGGAGAAGGTACAGACTGTCTTTTTCCTTTATGTTGTGCTGGGTGTCTTCGATTTCTCTGTAGCTTCTAATTTTCCAGTCAGACCTTTCTTGATTCCAGGGAATCTACTTCTCTTTTACCCTTCCCCAAGCTGTTATTTTCCAGTGTCTGTATTTCAGATCTCAGAGGAGCTGAATTGCTGCTCACTACTCTCTTATTTTTTCTGACTCTGGTTTATCACTTGTAATTGGTCAATAGGGTCCTTAGTTACTTTTTCTTCATTGTTGAAATACCTGATACCCAAAGTGAAGCAAGGGAAGGTTTATTTCTTAGTTTTGGAAGTTTCTCCAAGGCAGGATGGCAATGGCTGAAGCAGCCGTTCATGGCCACCCCAAACAGCAAAGCACAATCCAGGCAAGAGCAAGAGAGACACAGTTTCTTCCGGCCCTTGCACTGCATGCTGGCTCCACCCCTGGGCAGGGGCAGCACTGACACCACCAATCCCAGCCCAGACAACAAACCAGTCACGAACACCAGACTCAGCCTTGTCCATGATTGCGTGAGGCTTGGGAGCCATCAGAACACAAACTATAACAGGTCCCAGTACGGTTTTGAGCAGAAAGTCAGAGTGGAAGTAAACAGTGTCGGAAAGTATAGCCTTGACCCACCTCCTCTTGGAGTGCTGGGTGAACACCCATTTGCAATACCACGGTGCCTTGGTCATGTCTCACAGGGACAAAGAATGAAAAGGCAGACAAAAGAGGTAGAGCCCGAGCAAGTTCACTTAAAAGATAGAAAGGCAAAAAGTAAAAGATACAAAGGTGAGGAAGTAAAGCTCCTACTTGCCAGGATGGAGTTCTGGGCAAGTTACCTAGCAAGGCGCCTTCAGGAGTTTTTAAGAGTCTAATAGCGAGCTTGGGCTGCTGTGTAAACAATGTAATCTCCACCCTTTCTTTAGAAGGCCACATATTTTTTAGGGTCCAGTCTATTCAGTGTTCAGACAGTGCCAGCAGGGCCCATGTGTCCTTGAGCACTGCCTGATCATGCCCTGGGGAAGCCCAGGCAGCTGAAGGACACCTGGCAGGTGTTTTCTGTAAGATCTCGAGAGCATTGTGACTTAGAAGACTCAATTCTGGGGTTTCTGACTCCATGTGGGAGCTGCTATCCTTACTGCCTAATAGAATTTTAACTCCTGTTTAACCAATTCCTGTTACAGTAGAGTCTTGCTAAACTGCCCAGGCTGGGCTTGGACTTACGATTCTCCTATCTTGGCCTCCTAGAGTGTTAGCATTACAGGCTTGTAATCTACCATGCTTCACTAAAAAGTTTACTTTAAATATATAAAGTTGCTTTTAAGAAAGAGGACTCGTGGCTGGGGATTTAACTCAGCGGCACAAGCACCTGCCTGGCAAGTGTGAGGTCATGAGTTCAATCCCTGGTCCTTCCCCCTTCTCCTCCCCTGCTAAAAAAAAGACCCAGTAAGAATTTATGTACCTCTAGTGTCAGCTCCTGAGTAGGCTGAGGTGGGAGGGAGGTTGAACTTGAGGAGAGGAGTTTGAGGCACTGTAGCCAGACCCCTGTCTCATACACACATATGTACACACACACACACACACACACACACACACACACACACACAGAGAGAGAAATACATAAAAGTGCTTTCTTAAAGTAAAGTTTATTTATATACACTAGCACCAGGACTTTGGGAGTTGAGCCAGCCTAGGCAACTTTTGAGACACTGTCTCAAAATAAAAATTTTAAAAAGGCTAGGGCTGTAGCACAGTACAGAGGCTGAGTAGCCCTATTTTTAAAAAAAATTTACATTTCTTTTATAATTCTGAGTGTTGACTTAGCTTAAATAGATTAAATAAATCCTCTATGACTAACAGTAATAGCATACCCTTAGCTATCTTTGATCATGAGTTATGCAACAGAACTTATATTTGTGTCCCAATTTCATAGATAAGGAACCAAGGCCCAGAGAGCCAGGAGGCTGCAAAGGTGGATTTGAAATGGGTCACCAGGCTCGAAAGGCAGAGCTGGGGCACTTGAGACAGGGGCCAAGAATTTCACCTCAACCCCAGAATGGCACTGACTTACGACTGATGAGTCAGTCAGCAACCACACACGCATTTTCTTTTGCCACTGCTGATTTGTTTTCTGTGTCGAGGCTTGCAGTGGCTTATGGTAGGTAACCTTACTGATATCATGGGGAGCTCTTTACAGAATGACTACTTTTCAGAGATGTCCTCTAGGTGTGGCTAGCTTTTGGCCTTTGGTCTACCCCAGGATCCTGTCACCTCTGTTTATGAGAAAGGAAAATTTACAGCCTTGATCTAGTACCCAGTTCTTTGATAATAGATGGTAGTATTATTTATGACCCCCAGACAATCCAGGTATTGGCATACCAGGAAAACCAATTGACAATGAGGACAACTATGTCACCTTGGCTAAAGCAGTACAATCAGCAATAGCAAAAGCATCAAGCATGAACTGGATAATGACAAACTGTAATAACTACCTCTTTGCTACTTTTAAGCCTAGTTAAAAGATCTATGGTTGGGGTCTGGGGATTTAGCTCAGCGGCATAAGCACCTGCCTTGCAAGCAGGCGGCCGTGAGTTCGATCCCCAGTACCGGTAAAAATGAAAAAGACAAAAAAAAAAAAAAAAAAAAAAAGATCTATGGTTATAGAACAAATTCTAAGATAAATCAGATCATGATAAACCGTAAATATCTATTCAAAGCAGTTTTGCCCCCTTTCTCTATAGAGCAATATTCAGCCATAGTAAGCCACAGTAAACTACCTACAAATTCATAAGGGTTAAATGATAAAAAACAAAAACTATGAAAATTAAGCAATGGAAGATGTGAAGAAGGTGGTAAGACGGATGTAAAAGGTCCTATTAAGGAGTAAAGGGGAATCGGTAGTACTAGATAATAACAGAAAAAACAAGTAGAAAAAAGATAAATAACAGAGAGCAGAGACTGAACTAGTGCAAAAGAAAAAAGTACTAAGGGAACAACTTGAAAGACAGATAGCAAGAAAGGAGAGAAGAAAAGCAGGTCTTATTCAAGTAAATAAATGAACATTTTAAAAAGAGGAGAACAAGAGAATGGCGATACGATTTCAAACTCCACCAAAAGTAGAAGTCAAATACATACCAGTAGGGAAGCAAAGAAAAAAAAATTGGGATAAATGGAAGGAAAGGGAAAAGATTAAAGTCCCTATGTATTTGCAGAAGTGTTCTCTTCCGGGTGCAGTCTTCCACCTTTGAAGTCACAAACCTTTTCACCCCTCTTAGTCTGGGACTTGTGTGGAGGTTTCTCAGTTCAAGAAGACCCCTCGCCGTAAACCCTTGTTTGTGGCAACTGTCCTAGCTGGAGCCCAGAAAAGGTGCGGGCACTGGTGGTGTGGATTCTTGCTGATGGGACACCCGCATTCTGCACTGGTACCTGATGTTTATTCTGGGGACCACGAGAGCAGCTCCAGGCACCAAGTGGAGGCTCCAGTCACCTTGAGCACCTCAGGAGACCCAGGTGCGCCCAGGACTAGCATGAGGAGATTTCAGCAGGCAGGTGAGGGCACAGGGCACTGGGTGTTGTCTCATGGACATCCCAGGCACAGGATGCAAGTCAGCAGACCTTTGGGCCTTGCTGCTGAGCAGGCAGAGGGCCGACTCCGGGTATGCACAGCTAGTGCTGTGTGGGTGCTCCCACAAGTCAAGGCACCAGGTAGAGCCTCACGTCGATCTGGAGCTCGCTGTAGAAGCCCAAGCTGCCCTGGACTGGTGAGAGCCTTCGAAGTCTCCAGCTGCTCTGTGAGTGATGTGGGGCCACAGGAGCTGGGTGTGGATTCAGGGGTCGCCAGGGTGCTGAGTACGGGTTCAAACCAGACCAGTGTGTTAGTGAATGTCCTAGCTGGCGTGGGACAAATGTGAGGCCCTCGGCGGTGACTCTGGAGTGCCCTGGATCCACTATTGATGATCCTGACACAGGCAGCGTGTTCACTCTACGGTGACTCTCCAGAAACCCCTGCTGTGGCCACTATGCCATGGGGTGCAGGCAGCTCTTAGGAAAAACAGTGTACTGGTTCATCCTCCAGGAGTCTGAGCTTGGGTCTGTATGGAGGGAGCCGAGCTTGCCCCTGAACCCCCAACTCCTGTGTGTGCCAGCAAAAAAGGCCGCCGGGCTGCACCCACTCAACATTTGGAAAAGGGTTCAGGGCCCCAAGCTTTCATGGGAAACGAGACTCCAGCAGCCACGCAGAAGCAGCCACACACGCTGGAGCCAGAGAGCAACTCAGGAGGGACAGACACAAGGCCCCTGACACTCCCCCTCCCTGACAGTCACTGCACAGGGAGGTCAGCAACAGTAAAATGCTCTGGCCTGAAGGTCCCAGAGGCCTCCTCAGCTCACCTCTTTAACAATCGCTTAGAAATGGGTGTAGCAGCTCAGGCCTATAGACTCAGCACCCAGGAGGCTGAGACAGGATGATCACCAAGAGTTCAAGGCCAGCCTGAACTAGCGTTTAGAGCACCTTGCCTTCCTCTCCAAATCTAAGGCCTGCCTCTTCCTTCTTTGGTTGCCTCTGGCACCCAGCATGATGGGGTTAGACAGCAGTGGAGAAGAAACGGAAAGGGATCTCACAAACAGTGAATTCCAGGAGCTGGTTTAAAAGTATGTGAGGGAGGGAAAGGGGCAGGCCCTAAGAGGGTACAGCATCACTAGAGTATCAAGGGGTGACCTTGAAAGGCCAGCATGGGAATAGCTTTTCGTGGCTTCATCAACACAGCCGGTCCTTCTCCGGGGGGGAAGCTGCGGCCCAGCCCTCTGCCCTCGGCAGGGCTGTCACACATGTCGCGGCCCAGCCCCTGCTTTAGCTCCAGCACCTCCAGCTGCCCACACAGACCTGGCAGGCGCACACAGGGACTCACCTGTAGGTGTAGGGCCCCACTTCCTCCAGCAGAGGGCGCTCCCCGCGGAGGATCTCCTCCGGGTTGGTGACGTTGAAGAAGTAGAACTGGGTGTACACGGGCAGCGGCGGACTCTCCCAGGAATGAAAGACCTCGGTGCCGTTCCGCAACACCACGTTCTAGGAGGGAAACCGAGAGGAGACTTAGAGATATAGGGCAGTGGGCTTTGAACAGGGCAAAGGAAGGACGTCACCGGCTCTGAGCTCAGGGCTGTCTTACACCAGCGGGCCTGCTGAGCCACAGGTCTGTAAGTGGGAGTTCATAATAAAGGCAGGGTGCAGAAGTCACTCCGGGCTGGGAACATGGTGCTGCCAGAACTAAATGCCCGACTGACTGCGTTATGTTTGAAGATCACGCTGAAGCTGGGCAGAGTGGTCTGTGCCTGGAATCCTAGCCCTCTGGAAGGCTGAGGCAGGAGGATCTGAAGTTCAGGCCCATACTGGCAATTTAGTGACCCTGTCTCGGAATAAAAAATTAAAAAGGAGGGCTGGGGATTTAGCTCAGCAGCATAAGTGCCTGCCTGGCAAGCGCTAGGTCGTGAGTTCGATCCCGGGTACCAAAAAATAATAATTAAAAAGGAATGGAAATGTAGCTCAGTGTGAAGGCCCTGGGCTTAATCCTCAGTACCAAAAAAAGAGAAAGAAGGAAGACAGAGGAGGAGGAAAAAGTATGTAGATGTGGATCATTTGAAAACACAGGAAGAAGACGGCCACCTACAGGCCAAAAATGGAGCCAACAGAAGATTTTAATTAGCTTTGCCATAAAACAGAGTAAGTGTTCCAAAGAGCTGAGCAGAGTTTGGGGTTTTGTTTGTTTGTTTTTGTTTTGTTAGTTTGTTTCTTTGAGACAGGGTACTGCTATGTAGTGCAGGCTGGCCTTGAACTCACTATGTAACCCTGGCTGACCTCAAATTCGCAGTGATCTTCCTGCCACAGCCTACCAAGTGCTGGGATTACAGGTGTGCGTCACCACATCTGGCTTCGAGGCTGATTTTCTAGATAGCAAAGGACTCTTCAGGAGAACAAAAAAGTACATTGATATTTCAAAATTATTTTCCTTGTGCACAGAGACGGTACAAAACAGGAAAACAACTGCTTAATGTTAGTGTGCTTCAGGTTTTCTGTGTGTGTGTAAAGATTAAAGCATAGTTGAGCCAGGCACAATACATGCCAACATGCCTGCAGTCCTGCTGCTTGGGAGACTGAGGCAGGAGGACTAGAAATCTGAGGCCAGCCTAGACGTTAATCAGACTGTCTCCAAAGGGGTGGGGTGGGGATGTAGCTTAGCATGAACTGGGTTTAGTTCCTAGAGCTTCAGAGACCCAAAACAACCAGGCACAGTGGTGCCTGTCTAACTGGTGAGTTCAAGGCTGGGCTAGACTACAGATCTGTCCCCAAAACTACTCCTATTGCTCCCTGCCTGACACACACACACACAAATAGTAGATAAAACTTCATTTAAAGCACATGACAGGAACTGGAAACTGGCTTGGCCTGTTTGGGAAATCTGGCTCCCTCTCATTTCTCAGGTCAGATCATTTAGTCAATATTTCATAATTATCTCTAATGATGCTTTTGCATTCCAATGGTATTAGGTATGATGATTTTTGTTTGGTTTGGTTTTTTGGTAATGGGGATTGAAGTCATGACCTTACTCTTAAAGGGTGAGCCCTTGAGTTGCTGAGCTAAAGCTCAGCCCTATTCAGTTAATATTTGATGAAGCATTACTATGATTGTTTGGTTGGTTTGTTTTTGGTATGGGGATCAAACTCACAACCCTGCACTTACCAGACAGGTGCTGAGGTGCCTGCTGAGCCCGAAGCATTACTATGAGGACACTGTTGATTCTTATTCTGGCTTCTTAGGGCCTTGTGCAAGAGCTTAGTCTGGAACAATGGCCTCCTATATTTTTTTATTTCACATTATCAACACGTGATCTCAGACTCCTAGCATCCAGAACTTCGAGACAATGAATCCTCTCTCCCTGGCCTCACCCTGCTGCCTCCAGTATGGCCAAGGGTAGAGATGCGGTGGCAGGAGGCTGTGGGAGCTGCAGGGATGCTGCTGCCTTGGTGCCCAGCAGCCTCTGTCAGCTTCCAGAGCCAACACCTTCGCTGGGGAAATGCACCCACCTGGAGCCACCCTGGAGGCCAGCAGCACACTGAGGACAGCACTCTCTAAACATGTGGCATCTGATGACGGACCTACAGACTGCCTGACCTTGGCTGACTAGAGGGCTGCAGTTGTGCAGAGATGGAATGTTGTAGGTTGGGAGGCAAAATTATCTTGGGCTGTATCTCAGGTCCTTCAACAACAGTTTACTTCGACTGTTGTGTCTGGCCTGTCTCATGACTTTCCCTTATTTTTTTTTCAGTACTGAGAACCAAACCTAACATGCATAGAAAACACCTGCCCACCTGGTGCTCTCACAGCATAACTGGACAATGTGTCGATTGTTCTGTGACTGGAAAAGTCCACATAATGTACACAGTGGAGCATGTCACTCAGGAGAGACTGAATCAGCGTTTGTGGTCCATGACTGCTCATATTTGGTTCAGAATAATGGTGCTTATTTCTCCTGCCGCAGGTCCAGTTTGCTTGAGCTATTCAAGCCGTCTGTACTCAGCCTAAGACACACCCTGCCTCCCAATCTTACACATCTGGAGTGAAGCACCAATGTAAGCCACTGAATGTCAGGAGCTGTTTGTTGGCCAGCACTGCAGCAAAAGCCTGACAAACACAAGGCCCAAAATTAATACGCAGAATCCTAGTAACCAGTAGTTCTAACATTCCTTAATCTGCTAATGGGGAAAAAAATTTATATTTTCAAAGTAGAAATTGTTGCAGGCATAAGAAGAATAAAAACACAGACCAAAGGCAAACCCCAAACATGAACAGGGACTCACTTCCAGTACTGGGAAATTTATTTATTGCAGTACTCTTTTTATTTTTTGTTTTGAGACAGTGTTGCTAAGGCTGGTCTTGAACTCTGATTTTCCTGCCTCAGCTCTCAAATAGTTAGAATTATTAGTGTGTCATTAGTGTTAGGAATTTAGGTCACTTTTTGTCCAACCTGATGAGATTCTGTACTTTCTAACTTTTAAAATAGTGAGTAAAAAAATTAATATTGAGAAGGGCTTTTGAGAAAAAAATCAAGAAAGGAAAATGGGTCTACAGATCCACCATCAGGCTGCGAGAATTCCCCAAGGGCAGGAAGTGTGGGAAAATGTGAAGACTGGAGACAAGGGGCCTGTTCCTTTCTGTGCTCTGGAGTAACTGGCTGTCTCTCACTGGGCCAGCTGTCCTGTCCTACAGAGCACTCTGTTGTCTCTAAAGCTAAGACTTCATCTGCACGTAGCCTCAAGTCAAGTGAAGGCTACTGGGAAGACCAGGTGAAATCTGCTCAGGCCACTGCTGGAGACCACTACAAAGCGGCTCAGAGCAGGATTTAAAATGAACTAACTGGCTTTCTATGTTTATTTGTGAATCTGTCCTACTCCTAGGCCCCTTGCTTGGCGATGGGAGCTGATTCATGTAAGTGAACCTCCATGAATCACTGGTCCTGGCTGAGGCCTGTAATGGCCTGTGAGGCCAGAGATACCTCAAAGGGCAAGACAAGGCCACAGCTTCAGACAGTTGGCTCAAACATCAATTAAGCATTAAGTAGATAGAAACTACAGCTGCAGGAATTATTCCTACAGTCTCACTTCTACCATGTCTTCATAAGACAGTTCTACTGAATTGACATGATTCATTGCTGAGAGATGTCCTTGAAGTGACTCCCAAGGTCCTGCTCATTGCCTGAACTTTCCTCAGTTTCCCCGCCCTTTGTTGTTGGACCTAATAAAAGTGGGTGGTCCAGAGAAGTCTTTGTCTTAGCCCTCAGAGTCTTGAGCTCAGCTAAAGGGTTTTGACCCTCCTGGAGCCCTAAAATCATAACACTTGTTGCATTTTATTTAAGCCTCTGCCATACACTCATTTGGGAGATCATGGATCTAGGTCAGGACCCGATAGGCCACCAAGAACCAGGAAAATTGATTACAACAGGACATCAAGGTTGAGTAGCTTAGGCCTCCAACCGAACAGCAATGTTTCAAGAAACTTAATAGAGGAGGCCGGGGATATAGCTCAGCACCTGTCTGTCAAGCAACGGGTTTCGAGTTCGATCCTCAGTACAAAAAAAAAAAAAAAAACAAAGAAGCTTAATAGCTCTATTTCTAAATAGAAAACATTCAAGAATATTCACAGGACAATAAAGGTGACTATGGAATAAATGCATGTAAACAATTGGAGTGGAGCGGATTCACTTTCCCACAGAGCTGGTGTGTGTCAGCTCACCTGCCAGATTTCTGACCAGACTACATTGCTGAAATATACTTGGCCTTTACTGTATCAGTGAAGACTGAATGAGCCAATGTCAGCTTGACGACATGGAACGATTTTTAAAGACAATCTGGGAAGCCCCTTGGATTCCTCCAGGGTAGACCAGTAATCTACCTGGCAAGATGCCCTCCTCTCTGCACACCTAGTGCTCCAGGCCCTGCGGGCAGGAGGCTACAGTAAACGTTTTATCCAGATAAGACCATGGTGATCCCTTATCTTCCTGCCTAAACAGAAGCCTCAGGTATCTGAGAGACAAAAAGTTTTATACTCAGAGTGCAAGAAAATTGCAGAACTGGAAAATCCCTCCGGGCTGACAGGATGTACTTGGAAGTCTGAAAGGTGAAAGCCTCTCCCTACTTAGTCTGGGCCAGGTCTCAGAGCTGCTTTCCTCCTCTTTCCCATCCCACTTCTACTGGCAACATTTTAATAAAATGGAATACACACACTCAATAGTTACACCATTTACACAGTGGAGTCTAAGAACAGCTCAGCAACATAAAGCTAAACTATCCACAAATAGTGCATTGAGACCTAATATGTAAATAATCATTGCTTCATCTTTTAGAGGATTCTGAGGACCCATGGACATTTAAAAAGTCATTGGAAGCCAGGCATGGTTGCACAGGCCTGTAATCCCAGCACTTGGGAGGCTGAGGCAAGAGGATTGTTGTGAGTTTGAGACCAATCTGGTCTATAACATGAGTTGAAGGCCAGCCTGAACTGAATAGTGAGACCCT